ACTTATGTTGATTATGCTACACGTACTACTTATTGTTGCAAATAAAAGAGAGAGCCATTCTAGGGCCATTATTAATGATTAATGCAAAACTGAAAAAAAGTGAAGTGTTAAATACTCAAACACTTAGCCTCAGACGAATGCAGGCCTGCCCTGAACATGACAACATCATGCGTGCAAGCCACAACACTGAACATGGTAACATCAACGATGCAAGAGGTGAGAAGATAATAATGATGCCCAAATAGAGCAACACTATCACCCTCTAGAGAAGCTCTACCTATTGCCATTCACACACCCCTTCTAACCCACAGGGAGGCACCAAGATAGTGGGCCTGGTTTGAGTGTACAAACATCCTAGGGCTATGCAGGACAAATTCATAATGCATATCACATACCCCCTGCTGATTAAAGCCAACAGTGAGGACAATAAACTGTCACATATGTGTGGTCCCCCATTATTTCAACACAAAAGCTCCAACCCCCAGTAGAGTACCACAGTTCTAATAATAAACATATTAGCAACCCTTGCATTTCTGTCAGAAAATGCACCACTTCGCCTAGAAAATTGTTGCAATTACAAACGTTTAGCCATTTTCATGTTTATTTCTTTTGTTTGTATTGGTATGACACAAAAAATTGGAGAAACAAAAAGCCAAATCTGACACATTGCACCCAAAGCCCCAAAAATGGACTGGATAAAATGATTGGCACCTTCTCAAAATTGTAAGAAATAATTGCACTCCAAGTTTGTGATGCTCCTGTAAGTCTTAATTAAACTCACCTGTATCAATTAACAGGTGCTGACAATATAGAAATCACACTGGCAACAAGTTAAATAGTTAAAAATTGACTGAAACTTTCTGTTGTGTGTCTTTATGTGCCACATGGAGCATGAAGAAGAGAAAGAGCAGCAAATAACTGTCTGAGGGTTTGAGAACAGAAATTGTAGAAAAGCATGGAAAATCTCAAGATTATAAGTCCATCTCCAGAGATCTTACTGGTTCTGTGTCCACTGTGTGCAACATTGTCCAGAAGTTTACAGCCCATGGCACTGTAGATAATCTCTTTGAATGTGGACGATAGAGAAAAATTAATCAAAGAAGGATTGTTTAAATGGTGGATAAAGAACCTTGATTTGCCCACACAAATTCAAGCTGACCTTCAGACATGCGGTACAACTGTGTCAGCTCGCACTATACGTTGCCATCTGAATGAAAAGGGACATTATGGTAGGAGACCCAGGAGGACTCCACTGCTGACACAGAAACATAAAAAAACTAGATTGGAGTTTGCCAAAACGTACCTGTGGAAACCAAAATCCTTTTGGGAGAATGTGCTGTAGACAGATGAAACAAAATTACAGCTTTTTGGTAAAGTCTATCACTCTACTGTTTTCAGAAAAAAAAATGAGGCCTTTAAAGAAAATATACAGTCCCTACAGTCAAACATGGTGGAGGTTCACTGATGTTTTGGGGTTGCTTTGCTGCTTCAGGCACTGGATGTCTTAACCGTGTGCATGACATTATGAAATATAACTACCTAAGAATTTTGGGGTGCATTGTAGGGCCCAGTGTCAGAAAGTTGGATTTCCATCAGAGGTCATGGGTCTTACAGCAGGACAATGACTCAAAGCACATGTCAAAGAGCTGTAGAGTACTGATCTGGCCAGCAATGAGTCCAGATCTCAATCCCATAGAGCACCTGTGGAGAGATCTCAAAACAGCAGTTGAGAAAAGGATCCCTTCCAATCTGAGAGACCTGGAGCAGTTGACAAAAGAAGAGTGGTCCAAAATGCCAGCAGAAAGGTGTAAGAAACTCATTGATGGTTACCGGAAGCAATTGATTTCAGTTATTTTTTCCAAGGGGTATGCTACCAAATATTAAATTGAGGGTGCCAATAATTTTGACCAGTCCTTTATTTGAAACCAGTTCTCTTCACAGCAATGCTCATGTGAATTTACTTTTTAGCAAATCATACCTTATACATCCCATAAAGCAGCGGGGGGGGGGGGGGGGGATGGGGCAAACTGCAGCCATTCAGCTGTTGTGGAACTACAAGCCATCACGCCTTTGCTTCTGGGAGTCATGCTTGTAACTGTCAGTCTTGCAGTGCCTCATGGGACATGTAGTTTCACATTAGCTGGAAAGCCACAAATTGCCCATGTTGCACAGCTGAATTTTGATGGTTTCTAAATACCATGTACTTTACATGTATTTTTATATTCTACACTTTCTACACAAAATAAGCCTTTTCTTCTGACTGTAAATTCTTACTGTACTAAGCCTTAAAAGCCTTCATGAGCACTTTGATACATTTCAGCTGGTTTAGTTACAACATAATACTTAAAATATCCAACTGTCTTTCAATAACATAGTTATAGTGTATCTAAAGCCAGAAGTTTTTTTTAAGTGTAGGAAAGGGTTATCAATGCTGATAGTTTTTTTTATTGCTGCCTGTGTCAACTTCAGGAAGATTTACCCTTTCAATTTGTCCTGATGACTATTATCACTGTGACAACTTTCTAAAAGTGGTTTTCCCCCCACTTTGGAGAGATATCCCCTTACTTCCTGATGTGTCAATGTGACAGGAAATAAAGGGAAGTTTCCTGAATGGGACACACGCAACATAACGTTTTGGCCTTAGATATACATTAAACCCTTTCAATAATCTGTAAAAACTGTAAATCCATTGTTCTTATGTTGTGGTTTTCTTTTGACCAGAAAAAAAAATTAATGAAATTGGCTTCTTGTGTATTGTTGACCTTTATCATATTTGGGCTAAAATTATGTTCAGCCCTCTGGGAGTGTACAGTAACACGGTGATTTTTTTCTGCTTCAGTAAGCAATATAACTAGGTCATCTTTTCTGCCCCCAATAACTGGCCAGTGAAGCAGTAGCAGTTTTCTTCTCTTTTCACACCTCTCTCTTCTCCTGTTAGCATGTTTCTTGGCAGCACATGTGCTGCACTTCACTTTGTCTAATCTTAATATACAGGGAGTTATAATAAGCTGTTACCAATTAAAATGCAGGTAGCTACCCTTGCTGCACTAAAAATACATTTTAATTATAAATGCAGCAATATATATATATATATATATATATATATATATATATATATATATATATATATATATATATACATATACTGTATATGTATATATATATATATATACAATTGTCAAAACACATAATTTACTATGGGCATGGATACTATGCGATGGAACTTTTTCATTCTTTTTTTACATTGTACAATAAACTAACAGTTTCAGACTATGTGTTTTTGTATTTATATTTATTCTTTATCTTTGGAACGATATTCAGATTTGCCTGATGATAAATGCATGGACAATTTCTGGTATTGTAATTTTCCACAAACAGGCGAATTCTTGGCAAATGGTAAAAAAATTTGGACTCTCACCCGTAATGCCCTGTACAACTTTTAACCCTGGATATCAGACTCACAATATCAATAATGAGGGGTGGAGGGTTGGACAACCCAGCCCCTTACTCTACATAGATAGGCCATTGTGTATAAGACACCTCTGCAGTTCCTTTGCAAGAGTGGCAGACCAGCAACAGCGTGCAGGGGAGAATTGACTGGTTCACCTTGCCTGTGGCATCTTCCTTCTCCCAAGCACAGAGCAGTAAGAATTTAGCAAGAGTTGCTTATTTGATCTACTGTATTTCTCCTCTTCTGCTCATCTCACCCTAAACCTGCAATCTGTTCAAGTTCAAGATTGTTCAAGCACTCTTTTTTTTTTTGCTTGCTGTAGGAGGAGCTGTAAATGGAAAATTATAGTGATATGCTAGTAGTACTATCTTCTAATTTTTGGGAAAGTACTGGCAGGGAGGAAGGAGCATTAGTTGAGTAAAGTAGAAGGGAGTGTTTCAGTGCCTTTCCTGGCTCCAGAAGTTTTCTCTTTTCAGGCAAGAAACAGATTTGTCCTCTCACAGATTTTTACACACCTGTATTTTGTAAGACAGCTGTCTTCACTTGTATCTCCACATATTGGACTATTCTCACTGCTAATAAATTAGCCAATTTTTATAGAACGGTTTTTAAAATTTGAAGCTCTAATTTTTGTAGAAAAAAAGCTGGCTGTGACTTGCGTCTTTGCATTCCGTAGCTCTAATATTTTTGGAAAATTGGGGATAAAGGTATATAGGGATTGCATGTAATGTGTGGTGTTGTGAAATGTTTTTGACAAAAAAATGTAGCTCACAATCTGTGCCGTTCAACTGTGGTACCATTGGCTAATGTTTATGAACCCATGCCCTGCAGGATTTAGTTCTAATTTTTTTTAAGAAAAATACCTTATTGTGGCTTTCCCCCACAGCAATTTTTAGCTTCCAACGCTATTAGTTTAGCAGTAACTTGCCTAGGAGCATCCTGTTCATCACCATATTATTCCAAATTACATTACCAATTGCTTAACCGATACTGCTAGTCTTTTTATTGTTATACAGTATGTATATATGCTGTGTTCTTGAGAGATTACTAGCTACATAACCTCTACTGTTTTATTAACCTCCCTAGTGGTCTGATTATGTCCATATTTCTGTGCTCAAAGCGGTACATTTTTTTGCATGGAAATATGTATTTTTTTATTGTAGACCTGTAATTTTTAGGAATAACTCACTGAAATCTGTCCGAACAAGAGTCTAGTAAACATCCCGGGTATGTTAAAATGTGAAACACGAATACATAAATTATAATATAATAAATAATCATAAAAAATAATAATATAATAATAAATTTAAATCAATAATGTAATCAGACCAAAAACACTGAAATTTGAAATATAGCGCCAAGTTCGCACATCACTGAGCAAAGTCGCAGAATCGTTTTCAGTTTCTGATGATGAATTTCCCCACAAATCATTATCACTCAATTCTGCAAGTGGTTCTGATTTGCTATCGTTGTCCTCTAGCTGGTCTAAAAACGATTTTGACCTAAAGGGATGCTTTTTGGACGCCATGGACATTTCTCAGTTTCCAGGCAGAAAGAACAGTAAAAATGTAGGCAGGGCACCGGACAAAGCACTAGGGACAATATGTATGTGAAATGGTTTGATACAGTAATGTTTTACTATGTTATTTTAGTGATTTTAGTGAATGTCACTTTTTGTCATTTTCAAATTTCCTGCCAGTTACGTCCCTGTACATCCTGACGCTCGCAGGGGACGGAACCCAGATGACAGATGCCGGCATCCGCTGGAGGACATTACAGGGGACACTGCAGGAGGGACATCGCGGGAGCGCAGGACAAGGTAAGTGATCGAGGGATCCCGGACCAGCGCTGCATGGTAAGCCCGAGTGTAGCTCGGGGTTACCGCTTGTGTTACTGAAACCTTACCCCGAGCTACACTCGGGAATACCGCCAGGGAGGTTAATATCTTTATAGAGATATAAAGCATTGTTTGGCTATATGCATTTCTTTATCTGTATGAGTACGGTGGCAGAACAGCTTTTCTGGTGATACACGATCAGGCTCTTCAAGGTAGGGGGCACGCACGCGCCACCCTCGTTGTGCTGTAATTAGTCACAGCACAATCAGCGCTGATAAGTGGGCCAATGCTGTTTTAGCACCTAACCTGGCAGTTTATATACCTTCAGCCATGTAAATCAAAGAATTAACCCTTATGCAGATTTACTTACACTATGGGATGGGTTTAAGTAACTAGAACAGGGTGGTTCCACAACTTGCACATCTCCCATCCTGTTCTTGATCAATTAGCATCTGCCTTGACATATTCCATGGTTATTGGGTTAAGGTGATTTTGCTAACTGTGTGGATATAAATATTGGGTATAGTTTCTGGCACTCATTAGAACTGAAGAAGTTTGGATAAGCTTTGAAATGTCTTCAACATTACAGGACCAGTCTAGTTGAATGTAACTAACTACTAATAGCCATGTCAGACAATTAGCATTTTTATAAGGCTGTTTCCAATGGCATATTCATCTCATAACAGGCTTTAAGTTGTTGGAAATACATTCAACTTGTGTGCCACAAAGCAATGAGAAGTTTCATTAATTTGGCTTGATATCTTATGAGAGTGTAAGTCAAACAGTTGCTGTAAACCAAACTTTTGCTGAACCAAAAAAATTAAAAAATTCTATTCAATAGGTTTCTGCTCCTGACCAGTAAAAAAAAAATACAATTATTTTGGCAGTTACATATTTAAATCCTTCTCTTCTTTCATATTGGAAATATGCCAACTTGTTTCTATTAGGTAACTCTGGCTTTATTTTGCTTCTCTTTTTAGCATGGGAAAGACAGCATTAATCTTAATAATATCACTTACTGTGTTATTTTATCTGTGAACTAATTATTTTTCTAGCAGTGTCTTTTGATGCTTTCAGAACAAACCCCCTGGTGGCCATACTTGCTTTTCCTGGTGCTCCCCCCACCACTAGTGCCACAGAACAATTGCACAGTGACTGACAGGCCGCTGCCCCCGTGTGACAGTGCTAGGAGTTCAAGAGTCTTTCCCATGTCTATTACACTTCACAAACATAATAGCTGATTAAAATAGAACTATGGTCAAACTAAAAAATCACTTATGTAATGTGAGCTGTCCATACCATTAAGACCAGGCTCTTTTTTCTAACTACTTGCTGAAACATTTGTAAATATCTGATGATCCTGCCAGTAGAAACTTTGGATAAGCACTTTCTTTGTTAGGGTGACAACACTCTTCTTACTGCGGTGGAATCACTTCATCATAGTCCTAATAGTCAATACCTACTATTTGCTCCACTGCCAGCCACATTGTGCTAAAGCAAATTATGTAAAAGCCCTCCACATCCTTTCCACCTCCTCCAGATTTTACTAGCATGGTGCCTCAGAAATATGGCTACCTTAAAATAAACAAAAACTGCATTTCTTTGAAGATATTTACCTGTAATTGGGGTTACTACTGTAGTCAGGGTATTGGACTGTGAGAACAACTGTTGTAAAAAGTGATGTGTGCAATTACTGGTATATGTTCTTTTTTCTCTTAGCTTAGAAATGGTATATTCATTTAAAATTTCTTTTAATTTCATATATTTTTAAAATTTCTGTTCACCTGATTCAGAGTAGGGATGAGCAGAATGTACCTGGGTTCAGTTTGAGGCAGTTTGTGAACATTACTGAAGTCTGAGTTCCAAATCTGAATCCCATTAAAGTTGAAAAACAGTAATATCCATTTTCTAGACTTAAAGGCAAAAGATTGTATAATAAAGATTATCATTGAAGGCTGGGCACTGCCCTGGGGAACATGTACCAAAGCAAAAAAAAATATATTTATTCTTGAAATATACCAGGCCACAAGTCATTAACATGGGGAGGTACCTTGCCAAGTGAGACCCCACTGGCAGAGAACCTTTTCCCCATGTCGAGGAGGGCAAGGCCTCTTCTCCACAAATCTGACCTGGTGGATGTGTAGGTCTGCAGGAGTGAGGGGCTTATTGGAACCTGTAACCCCCTTTAAAAATAGGTGGGCCCTCAGATACTGCCTCACAAAAATGTATATGGTATATAGTACCCCTGTTCATTAACAAAAAACTTTTTGACAAGTCCTTTCTTAAAGAATGAAAAACCCCAAAGACGTCCCCCAGTGTAAATTTATTGCCAATCACATCGCCCAACGCTGCATATTTATTGCCAAACACTTTGAACAACACCCGCCAACTCATCCAAAAAAAGTTGACCTGCCACAAATGACCCAGCTATTAAATGTACACAAAGGGGTGGGGTATACACAGTGATATCATTGACCAAATTTGGCCATGGCCATTACTGGTCAATTTCATTCCCATATTTGGTTAGCTATATCAGTGATGTTCCTGCCACTTTGTTTACATGGCGGGGTATTCTTGATTAGCAAGTGAAAGGGGCTAGGTGATGTCACTGGTTGCTAAGGATGAGGCAGGTGTTTGCACCCATTGCTTCCTTAACAATCATTCACAGTGAAAGCTGTCATGTACATTAGCAGTAGAAACCCATTACTATATACCATACAGTGCTGTGAAAAAGTATTAATTCCCTTCCTGCTTTTTTTATTTTTTGTCTCACTTAAATGATTCAGATCATCGAACAAATTTTAATATTACACAAAGATAACCCAATTAAATACAAAAAAGTTTTTAAATAATGATTTTATTTATTAAGAGTAACAAGCTGTCCAAACCTGCCTGACCCTATGTGAAAAAGTAATTGGCCCCTAAAACTAGTAACTGGTTGTCTCACCCTTGGAAGCCGCAACTGCAATCAACCATTTGCATTAAGCAGTTTGGCCCACTCTTCTTTGCAGAATTGTTTTAATTCAGCCACATTGGATGGTTGGTGCATGAATGGCCTGTTTTGGGGTTTATTTTGAGCCATTCAGAGGTGGACTTGCTGGTGTATTTTAGATTATTGTCCTGCTGCATAACCAAAGTGAGCTGGAGGTCATGAATTCATGGTTCCATCAATTATGGCAAGTTATTAAGATAATTTTTTGAGTCAAATGGATTTTCCTAATACTGACAGACATTACAACATGTGAAAAGCTAAAAAATTTTATTTTTCTATTACAGCAAACATTAAAATAACTAAAACATCATCCCACAAATGATTCCCTCACTTCCAGACTATTGTTTCTAAAACAGCAGTAAATGGCACCATAAATTTATTGATGCAGCATGAAAACACATAGATAGCCAGCTCTTCTCAACATGTTTTGCAGTTCATCAGTTTCTTCAGTTTGAGGGAGTGGATTTCCTATAAGAAAATAAGTATAACATAGCAAATGTACAATAAAGAGCAATGTAGAACAATCTTTCTCTATCAAGACAATAAAGAGAAAACAAAAAAAAAAAAAAAAAAAAGTGCCACCTGTAACAACACAAATAGTCTGTGTCTTAATACTATCTCCGACTCACTTATCGTAAAAGTGTGGATTTATAAACCGGGAATACATCATACAAAATATGGTAGTGTGACAAGAGCAACACCACCCAGGAAAAAGTGGTTACTTAGAGATCCACGCGGAGTAATGTAAATTCAGTAATCACAAAAAATACTTTATTTGATCACATAGATCATAGGGAGGTTAAACAGAAGCACGGTGAACATATCAGACAAATAAAATCATTTAAAAGCACTTGGCGTTCTCATTACTGGGTGATTTTAGGCACATAGGGAACCATATAAGGCAATGGGATTTTCTAGCTATATGATCCTAGGTTTCCATATGATTCAGTCTTGTATTTAGATTAGCCATACATTCTTCAGACGTATTCTTTGGTATACACCAGCATTAGTAAAATGACTTCCTAAAAATGGAAACCAGAACAGGAAAATATGGTGAAAAACTTAGATTGCACATAAATCACACCAAAGCTCCCCCATGCAGTAATAGACTAATAGTTCCAATACCTTCTCAGTAGCTTGGCTGTCATACCAGCATGATGAATGTAGAGACTTCCTGGGTAACCACCCCATGTGAAACAAAATCCACAGTAACAAGTGACTCTAAAGATGTATATAAAAATATAGATCATAAATATCAAGCAGGATCCCTGAATAAAAAACAAAAATAAAGGTATATATTACCATCAATGAAGATCAAGGGGACTTCACGTCGACTTGAAATAGAATCAGGTCCTTTCTGCTTAACAATAGTGAATATACAGGTGGGAAGCCAGGTAGTCTCAATATATAAATTCCACAGAGAGTATTGTATATATAGCAGGCACTATATGCCTAAGTCTATATACCCAATGAAGGGTTTCCAAAAATTGCTCAAACTGAGAGGGTGAAACGATTCCTTAAGAATATGACTACATCACAGCGTACCGCACATGTGTGACAAAAAGTAAATGTATTCCCCTAAAAAGAGGATTTCCAAAAAATTCCCTGAAAAACAGGGGTACTAGGCACATATAGCATTCAGTATAAACTCCATGTAGGCTCTATAAATCTAAACAACGACTAGCCGCTAACTGGGCCAAATAAGCAAAAATAACTTGCCACCAGTGGAAGTGTGCTCTTATTTAGAATTGCCAAGTGCGGACTGCTGGAATAGTAGCCTTATGGTAGCCTTTTCAAAGCCTCGTGCCTTTCTAGCATGGAGCTGGAGCAACGCCGCTCCTTCCCTCCTCGTGGGTACCGCACCCTATGAAGACGCCGAGCGTAGTGACGTCATTACGTTGACGTGTTTCGTCCGCCAATCACCGCAGACTTCATCAGAACTCTAGTTCTAGGATCATATAGCTAGAAAATCCCATTGCCTTATATGGTTCCCTATGTGCCTAAAATCACCCAGTAATGAGGACGCCAAGTGCTTTTAAATGATTTTATTTGTCTGATATGTTCACCGTG